CAATGACGCGATCAGAATACACTTCATAAATAGCTTCAAATACGTCCTTAGTTATATGCGGTGTAGCACCATCTTGCATAAAATAATAGTTCTTCACCAATCTTCTTCTTTTAGCCAAAGGAGAAAATTTAGTTTGTAGCATTTCTCGATAACTATTGACTGTAATGGTCCCTTCTATGAATTCTAAGTGTATTGTTTTGATTGAAATAGCTGCCCAAACAGTCACTTTAACAGGGTGTCAAGACATTGCCTCAGATGAGTGTGGATTTTCGCGATCCCAAAAATGGTAATTTTGTTTATTTACATATCCATTTAAATAAAAATGAGCTTCGTCTGTGAAGATTATGTGATTGATGTCGATCTCATCATTTTCCAATTTCTGTGTCATAATGAGGCTGAAGCTGGCGGGAGCAGTTCAGCGGGAGATGGGTATAGTTTGTGAGGCGGACTGTACGGCCCCCACCGTAGCCGCTCGCTCAACGCTACATCGGTAGCCACGAGTTTAAACCTCCTCCCAGACAAATTAAATGATAAAAAACAATCAAACAATTTTTTTTTATTATTATTATTTCTTAATGTATGACGAGGATGGGGAATGATTTCTCGAGGAGGAATTTCATAATATTTTTTTTATTTTTATAAGTTTTTACGCGGTCAATAGGGGTGCAATAAACGCATACACCAATCGATGTCATTTTATTTTTAATGTGTCCCTAAGGGATTAGGGGACCCTGTCCAACAAAAATTATCGCGGTGCACCTATTAGGGTATTTTTAATTAATTTTTTAAGATTCATTTCTCCCAACTTCCGATGAACAAAATGGTGATGCACAAACATGCATGCACCAACCAACCCCATTCCATTTGGAATATGTAGCTAGGGGGTTGGGGGACCCTCCCCAACAAAAATTATCGCGGTGCGTTAATTAGGGGATTTTTAATTAATTTTTAAAGATTCATTTTGTGTAACTTCCGGTGAATGCGGTGGGGGTGCACGGACACGCATGCACCAACCGACTTCATTCCGCTTGGAATATGTTACTGAGGGGTTGGGGGACCCTCCTTAACAAAAATTGGGACGATGCGCCAATTAGAGCATTTTTAATAAATTTTTACAAGATTCATTTTGTGTAACTTCCGGTGAATGCGGTGGGGGTGCACGGACACGCATGCACCAACCGACTTCATTCCGCTTGGAATATGTTACTGAGGGGTTGGGAGACCCTCTTCAACAAAAATTGTGACGGTGCACTAATTAGGGTATTTTTAATTAATTTTTTAAGATTCATTTCTCCCAACTTCCGGTGAACAAAATGGTGGTGCACGGACACGCATGCAGCAACCGACTCCATTCTGCTTGGAATATGTTACTGAGGGGTGGGGGGACCCGGTTGGTACATGCGTGTCCGTACACCCCCACCGCATTCACCGGAAGTTACACAAAATGAATCTTTAGAAATTAATTAAAAATACCCTAATTAGTGCACCGTCACAATTTTTATTGGAGAGGGTCCCCCAACCCCTCAGTAACATATTCCAAGTGGAATGGAGTCGGTTGGTGCATGCGTGTCCGTGCACCACCATTTTGTTCACCGGAAGTTGGGAGAAATGAATCTTAAAAAATTAATTAAAAATGTCCTAATTAGTGCACCGTCACAATTTTTGTTGGAGAGGGTCCCCCAACCCCTCAGTAACATATTCCAAGTGGAATGGAGTCGGTTGGTGCATGCGTGTCCGTGCACCACCATTTTGTTCACCGGAAGTTGGGAGAAATGAATCTTAAAAAATTAATTAAAAATATCCTAATTAGTGCACCGTCACAATTTTTGTTGGAGAGGGTCCCCCAACCCCCTAGGCACATATTCCAAGTGGAATGGAGTCGGTTGATGCATGCGTGTCCGTGCACCCCCACCGCATTCACCGGAAGTTACACAAAATGAATCTTGAAAAATTTATTAAAAATCCCCTAATTGGCGCACCGTCACAATTTTTGTTAGGGAGGGTCCCCCAACCCCTCAGTAACATATTCCAAGCGGAATGCAGTCGGTTGGTGCATGCGTGTCCGTGCACCACCATTTTGTTCACCGGAAGTTGGGAAAAATTAATCTTAAAAAATTAATTAAAAATACCCTAATTAGTGCACCGTCACAATTTTTGTTGAAGAGGGTCTCCCAACCCCTCAGTAACATATTCCAAGCGGAATGCAGTCGGTTGGTGCATGCGTGTCCGTGCACCACCATTTTGTTCACCGGAAGTTGGGAAAAATTAATCTTAAAAAATTAATTAAAAATACCCTAATTAGTGCACCGTCACAATTTTTGTTGAAGAGGGTCTCCCAACCCCTCAGTAACATATTCCAAGCGGAATGCAGTCGGTTGGTGCATGCGTGTCCGTGCACCACCATTTTGTTCACCGGAAGTTGGGAAAAATTAATCTTAAAAAATTAATTAAAAATACCCTAATTAGTGCACCGTCACAATTTTTATTGGAGAGGGTCCCCCAACCCCCTAGGCACATACTCCAAGTGGAATGGAGTCAGTTGATGCATGCGTGTCCGTGCACCCCCACCGCATTCACCGGAAGTTACACAAAATGAATCTTGAAAAATTTATTAAAAATCCCCTAATTGGCGCACCGTTACAATTTTTGTTAGGGAGGGTCGCCCAACCCCTCAGTAACATATTCCAAGCAGAATGAAGTTGGTTGGTGCATGCGTGTCCGTGCACCCCCACCGCATTCACCGGAAGTTACACAAAATGAATCTTTAAAAATTAATTAAAAATCCCCTAATTAGCGCACCGCGATAATTTTTGTTGGGGAGGGTCTCCCAACCCCCTAGCTACATATTCCAAATGGAATGGGGTTGGTTGGTGCATGCGTGTCCGTGCATCACCATTTTGTTCACCGGAAGTTGGGAGAAATGAATCTTAAAAAATTAATTAAAAATACCCTAATAGGTGCACCGCCATAATTTTTGTTGGACAGGGTCCCCTAACCTCTTAGGGACACATTGAAAATAAAATGACATCGATTGGTGTATGCGTTTCTTGCACCCCTATTGACCGCGTAAAAACTTATAAAAATAAAAAAATATCATAAAATTCCTCCTCGAGAAATCATTCCCCATCCTCGTCATACATTAAGAAATAATAATAATTTTAAAAAATTGTTTGATTGTTTTTTATCATTTAATTTGTCTGGGAGGAGGTTTAAACTCGTGGCTACCGATGTAGCGTTGAGCGAGCGGCTACGGTGGGGGCCGTACAGTCCGCCTCACAAACTATACCCATCTCCCGCTGAACTGCTCCCGCCAGCTTCAGCCTCATTTCAATGAAACGCTACTCATATATTGATTTGGTTAGATGGCCACCATTATGACGAATATTTTGAAAAAAATTGAATTCGGTTGACCGGTTTTTGNTGAACTGCTCCCGCCAGCTTCAGCCTCATGTGTCATAATTTTACAAAACTCAATTCTTTTGTTTTTGGAATTTTCTGTGAGCAAATGATAGATCGTAATTTTGTAAGGGTGTAACTTGAGGAAATTCTTCCATATTAATCTCAGTGTCTCTTGGTTCAGTTTTAAAGTTGCCGCTGCTTTTCGTATCGAATCCGTTGGATTATTGTTGAAATGTTCTTCGATCTTGGCAATCGTATCTTCTGTTGTAACTGAGTGTGATGGACCAGGAAGATCATGACGAGTCTTCAAGAGTATAATACTTGATGAAATTATCAATTACTCTGGGAGAGAAAGTAATAAATACTAGAAAGTTTTAGTCAAAAGTGAGGTTATACGATGAAGTCAGATAAAATTTTTTTTATTCTCACCTTCTGAGGGTGTTTTGACTGGCTACTTTTTTACTTCCAAATTTGGTACGAAAGCCTCTATATGCTTCAGTATAGTTTTTACCTCTAGTATAAAAGCACTCGATAAGATATACTTTTTCTTCGTTTGTAAGGTTACTCATTTTGAAGTACAGGTAGTGGTTCTTGTAGCGTCTCAATAAAAACTGACAACACTCTAGTATATATCTAATGGACCTAATTTTCCGGGTCTCAGTAGGAAGGGAAGACATGTGGGTATACTTTAGGCAACTTCCCATTTGTTACCCTGTATATAAAAGCCCTGTATATAAAAGCTGAGTGAATCATTGCTGCCCACTTGTACTTCGAACGGCACGACGTTGTCACTTTTTCTATCCACATTAATTATTTTCGAATTATCCAAAACACAAGTTAGAAAAATAAAAGAAGACTTGAAATATGTGGGGAAAAAGTAGAAGTTATTTAATAGTAGGTTATGTCATTAGGCTCGCCTTCGGCTCGGATTGTAAAGTCACATTCGTCAGATAATACTTTTAGCGTCATGTGACATACAATATTTTATGTCATTGGGCTCGGAAACCGCGATCTGACCGAGCGAAGCGAAGTTAAAATTGTGGTTTATCGGGCCTAATGACAAAATATTTCGAACACAAAAACAGTCGAAATAGATTGAACATTTGTAATTAAAATATCGTTTTTTTTGTTCAGCAATTGGTTTTCTGCGAGAGAACCAGAGATTCCCCTCCGTCTCACCTCCCACAGGCGCACCCCGCCATAAATACCTTCATTACTCAATTTTATAAAAATTTACCTCCGGGAAGGTGGCAGTGGACATGCTCACATACAGACATGATCGCCAGACTTCATACTTTTACGTTTCAGACCATTCTACATCACTTCCAATAAAAATTAGAGAATGTGGAAATTGGATTATAATGCTCCCATTCGGAAGCAGAAATCTGAGTCATTTTATGAAGAAAATTTGTAACTAACTATATCAGTAGTGGACCAGTCAATTCTATTTTAGGAATAACTGGAAAGAATGATCCATATGAAAATACTGCTAGCTTCTAGGAGTCGAAACTATTATAAAAATATAATATACCAGTTAGATTCCGGACAATCGATCGGAACTCTCTCATTTCCTGAATCAAAAATAATTATGTTCTCCTTACCGTGCTCTTAAACTGTCCTTGAAAGGTATCAATGATCACACTTCTATTGGACTTGAGATGTTTAGCCCAGTGTTTATCAGCCTCAACTTCATCCTGCGCAGCAATAGCACCATTCTCACAATTTTGCATTGTCCTTAAAAACAAAACCCCACTGGTACCCAGTCCATCTCTCCTGCGATTTTTTTCATGATCTTCAAGTCTCATTCTCTTAACATTACACTTTTCCGAAGCGCTTTCACACTCTGTATCCGACCCCCCTGCCAAGCAATCACTGCAATTAGACTTTTGTACATTGACCTCTTTAATCCTCTTGATACTCAAATTTTTATGATCAAAATCGTGATTCTCAGTTAAGTTCGAGTTGACCAGTGCCATACGACGAAGATTATCCTTGGGAAATTTCTGGGAGTCGTAATGAATCTCGTTGTTGCACTCCTGGGGAGTCACCAGGAAATTAGCATTGCTTGTCTTCGCATCTTTTACGATGTCGATATATTTATTGTAGTGATTTGATTTCTTTGACAACTCCATTAGTTCACCAAACTCGTACAACGAGTCTTCTTCGCTGTGTGTTTTGTTATGAATGAAACTCGATTTCGGATCTAATAGTTCGTCCGATTCGAGAGTTTCCTCGTCATCATTCAATGGAGAACCTGAGGGGGAGTTCGCTGCACTGTCCAAACCGTCCATTGGAGAATCTAAACCTGTGTGAAATGGAAAATCATTAATTTGATTTTTTAGTAAAAGGGAGGGTAACAGAATGGAATGACTAGCGGCCATTTTTGTGAGAATTTTTCTTTTCCTATAATAAAGATCTTTTGGCATTTGATCGATGGCAGTGGCTGTGTGGTTAGAGTGTGGGATTGGCATGCGGGAGACCCGGGTTCCATTCCCGGCTGGGAGGGCCAAAATTTGTGACATTCTAAATCTCACAGTTTCATTGTCGAGCGGGAGTCTCGCAAGAGCCGACTGTACCTGGGCAGGTTTTTCCCTCAAATGAGGTTTTCCCTTGTCCTTCGGCGAATGCGGTACAGGGGGTTGGGGGGTGGGAAGGGAACAAATCGTAAAGACCCGAAAGAGTATACGAGATGAAAAAAAAAATCTTTTGTCATTTCTCGTGGAAAGTTATCCTTTTCTATTCAATTCGTTTCACAACTTTACCATAGCATATGAAAAACATTGAATGTTGAATGAAGGAATTGTTTGATAGCTTGAATCCTTTCCCCGAGAGTCTTTGAGAAAAGAAGGATTTTGTATCAATTTTTATTGGAGCATTTCCAGCCGTATTATCTAGTCATTTAGATGATACTGCAGAAGATTCCTCCAATGCGAGGAAACGAAATTCAACCAATTCAGATTCAATCGATTAAATATTCACATTCGCAATTTTTTATTCCATTTTCTAACCTAATTATTGCTTTTACTTATTTTCTCGGTGCTGGAACAGAGAGAGCCCAATCTCATGTTACGCTGGGACAATGGGGAAAAAGCTTAGTCACATAAGAGGATTGAATTATATAAATTTTCCATCTATGTAAATGTTATTTAGTATAAATCAAATTAATTTTTTTCAACTGATGATAATCTTCAAGTTTTCCTGTCTCGGAAGATTGGAACACATCGAAATTGATTAAAAAATTATTCAAGTCAAATTAGCATTTCCTATGTATCAGATTCTCTGAGAGACAGGGAGAACAACTTTAGAACACAGCGACGAATAACATTTTTTGCAGGTACGAAATTTTACCACGATCGAGATGTCTTAACAAATGTTACGAACTACGCTTCCTTAAACTACTTTTGGTCCAATTTAACTAACTACTTAAATATACCTCATCTTTACGAAACAAACCTTTATCCTACTCAAAAATCAATATGAAGTTGATGAATTCTATGATTGTCAGAAATAGTTCTATATTCAAGCTCTTATCAAATAGAAGTCATTTATTTCATACAAACACTGGAAGATTTACCAGACTATAACTATAATCATGGATGCTAAATGAATTACTGAAAGGAAGACTGACCTCTCGGTGAGCCAGCCATCGTTACATTAGGACTATTCGGACATTCTGATGAAGGTGAATTGTCGTACGTATCCATGAGATCATCATTACAGTTATTAGAGGCAGTGACGATAGCATCAAATGTTGACGATAATTTGTCGCAGTTTTTATTCATACTAAGAGAGTTGGCAGTGATCGCAGTTGAGGGTGGCATTTGGCAGCTCTTGGTAGACTTGGCAGTATTCATTTGTTCGTGGAGAGAGTCGAGTAATAGAGCAAGAAACTCTTGACAATCATGCTGAAAAAAAATATTCAAATCATTGAACATCATATTTGAGCAATTCATAATAGAGCGATTCCACGTCAAATCAGCAGTCGCAAAAAGTTAATGTCTCCGATTATGTTCGTAATTTTTTCCTACATTTTATATCATTAGATAGGACTTCAGTGAAAATTTCAGTCCGAAATAAATTTTTTTGTACGAGGTATGATTTTTTTTTAAATTTGTTTTTTTCACATGTAAAAAAAACATTCCTATTTCTTTTGATAACTGCGCCGGATTCAGGTGGATGAAAATTTCATTCTGAGAAGCTCATAGGATCATGAAAATCCTTCAAAATGAGTCCAAAAAAGTCTATTTCATGCATTTTCAGCAACGTAATCGTAAACGCAAGTTTTTTATTTTTTAAATGTGAATATTTCAGAAAAAAAATTTTTTCAACTGAAATTTTGATACCAAATTTGTATCATAAATACCTACATTCGTGGCGAGTTTTAAGCTGTTTGTCGGCATAGTTTTTGAATTATGAAAGAAGAAATTTTAAATGAAGAAGAGGCTAGGAGCCGGATAGTTCGGTTGGAAAAGCACCCGCTACATAATCAGAAGGTACCGGGTTCAAACCCCACTACCACTATCCATTTTTTCAGTAAGTTTTTTTTGTAAACTAATATCGCGAATCATCCTGGTTCTCTTACTATTTCCACTAAAATCGTATCCAACAATATCCTGTGACTTTAAAAGGCGCAGAACGCTATATAACTCCAGTCTTCAGTAAAAAATGTAGAACGCTTCACAATTTACCGCAATCATTTTTTACTGAAGACGGAATGATATTTATCGTTCCACATCGTTTAACGTCACAGGATATTATTGGATATGATTTTAGAGTAAGTAGGAAGGGAGTCAGGATGATTCTCAATATTAGTTTACAAGAAAAATTTATTGAAAATCCTCCATTTGTTGAAATCAAAATAATTCCTCGAACTCGTACCTATCACTGCCTTCCTATCAGTTATACCCGATTGTATAGAAACAATTTTTGGTAAAACGGTGTCCAACTCAAACAACTACGATAGAATTAAAATAACAGAGGATTCATTAACCCTTGAATCGGTTCAACCAGAAGTGATACTTACTTGTTCATGAAGAGAAATGGTGGATAGGAAAAATATGTCAGAAGGACTTAGCCAGAAATGAATTTAGTGCAATTTTTATGGAACCTCACGACCCAGCTGTCTTATCAGTTTCCTAGAAAGGAGAGGACTGTAACATTGACATTTGAAACGATTTTATGTGAAGCCATCACACTAAAGAGAGTAAAAAGACTTAGAGTGCGCTAGAACGTACGGAGAAAGCCATCATTTGCAAATATTTCAATTATCTGATGAATAAGGACCTCCAAAAATGATGAATAAATTGTATAATTTTTTTATGAAGCTAATGCATGCTGGTTTTATTCACAAAAATTCTCAAAACAATTCGAGTAAGCCCCTGACAATTCCGAAATAGCAAAGAAAGAATTTTCAGAATGTTCATTACTCGCTAATTCAAGAGCTTTGACGAAGAACTACTTGCCCGGCGGCTTGGCGCAGTGTGTACGTTCGTTGCTCACGTGCGAAAGGTTCCGAGTTCAAAACCCGGCCGGCTAGAATGGTCAGATCTAACCATTTAAAGTCTTGATCGTCATCGCAGCATACCCTAACCGGATCGATGTAAAATAACGATAAAAAAAAAAGAAATACTTGGAACTTGCCACGAATGTAGATATAAATTTGGTATAATAATTTCAGTTTTTAAAAAAATGGTATTTGTGAAATATTCATGTTCTTTGAAAAAACTTGTTTTGATGATTACGTCCTTAAAAATGGATGAAATTGACTTTTTTTTGGCCTCATTTTCAACGGTCAATATACTACAGGGTGTCCCATAATACGTGACAAAAGTAAATTGCGAATAACTTGAATACGGTTAAGTGTAAATAATTGTTGTTTTTTTTATTGTACACAGAACATTCGGCAAATTATAATACAATCCCTTCCAAGTGTCCGCTATCACTTGTACTACAGAACTCTATCCTACGCTCGAAGCTGGTATAGATGCGCTGTATTATGTTTTCATCAATAGTTCGGACAGCATCCCTAATTGCGTCTTGCAACTCTTCCACAGTCGTCGGATGCTTCTCATAGCACTTGTCCTTGAGAAAACCCCACAGGCAAAAATCACAGGGATTTAAGTCAGGACTGTAAGGCGGACATTCCATGCCCCCATGGGCATACTTAGGGTAACTTAAACCTAACACACGAGTGCCGTAAATGGAAAAAAGTATTTCAAATACTCCAGTAGTCCTGTGTGGGGCGGCACCATCTTACATGAAGTAGAAATTCTTGACTAATTGATTTTTTCGTGCACAAGGAAAGAAGTTCTTTTTCAAGAACTCACAGTAAATGTCAGCATTAAATGTCCGCCTCTCGAGGAATTCAAGGAAAACACCCTTTATGGTAACTGCCGCCCATGCAGTAACTTTTTTCGGGTGTGAGGACTTGGTTTCAACGACGTGAGGTGACTCAGTCCCCCAAAAGCGAAAATTTTGTTTATTTACCCAGCCACCTAAGTAGAAATGTGGTTCGTCAGAGAATATGATATTCTGTGCCTTCATCCCCTTGAATTCAAAAAGATTGTAAAGTTCTTGGCAAAATTCCACACGACGAACCATCGCTTCTTCAGTTAAAAATTGATGTACAGAAATTTTGTAGGGATGGAAGTTTAAAAACACTTTTAAGATACGGTGAAGTGAAGTTCTCGAGACTTTCAAGGTTTGGGAAGCCTTCCGAAGAGTATCATTTGGATATTTTTTGAAATGTTCTTCAGTTGCGCGGATAACCTCATCTGTGGTTACAGTAGGTGAAGGGCCAGCATTCTCATGCCTCCTATCGTCTAGTGTACCGTATTGATCAAATTTCTCAATTAACCTGANGGTTCGTCAGAGAATATGATATTCTGTGCCTTCATCCCCTTGAATTCAAAAAGATTGTAAAGTTCTTGGCAAAATTCCACACGACGAACCATCGCTTCTTCAGTTAAAAATTGATGTACAGAAATTTTGTAGGGATGGAAGTTTAAAAACACTTTTAAGATACGGTGAAGTGAAGTTCTCGAGACTTTCAAGGTTTGGGAAGCCTTCCGACGAGTATCATTTGGATATTTTTTGAAATGTTCTTCAGTTGCGCGGATAACCTCATCTGTGGTTACAGTAGGTGAAGGGCCAGCATTCTCATGCCTCCTATCGTCTAGTGTACCGTATTGATCAAATTTCTCAATTCACCTGAAAGTACCCATGAATTGGTCGAAAAATGCGTAAATCTTCAAAAAAAAAAGGGAAAAAAATTTTGTTTATCTAGTTCATTCACTCTATTTACCGTCTGAGACTTGAATCAGACACTCCAGTGTGTGTGCCATACTTAGAATGAAATGCTCTTATTGCTGCAGTAGTTGAATCTCCTCTTCGGTAATATGATTTG